ACGGCCCAAGATGGCCCGTGACGACTCAAGAGGCTCTCACGACGTCCAAAGAAGCCCTCAAGACGGCTCAAGAGGGCTCCAAGACGGCCCAAGAGGGCTCAAAGAGGCCAAAACAGACATGCTCCTTAGGATTTTCACGGATTCTGAGGTTCTCGCCTGTTAGGGATTCCGACCGCCCAAGACGGCCCAAGAGGCCTCCAAGAAACCGCCAAGATAGTAAGACGCCCCCAAGTCGGCCCAAGAGGACCCAAAGATCGCCCAGAGGAGCTCCTTGAGCGACGCCCAAGGAGTTCCCAAGAGGGCCCCACGGCCGAGAAGCGCTCCAAGAGGGCACTACGACGGCCCAGAGAGGCCCGACAAGACGGCCTCCGAATACGCTAGGCGGGCCAAGAGCTCCCCAAGATGGCCCAAGAATATCCCAAGAGGCCCCGGGAGGTCCCCAAGAGGCCCCTACGAGGCCATCAGGAGATTCCCTGGATGCACCAGAAAGGCCCCAAGAAGCCTTCTCCTCGTCCTCAGTTTCTCCCTCTCCTCCTCCTCCTCCTCTTCCTCCTCTTCTTCCTCTTCCTCCTCCTCCTCCTCCTCCTCCTCCTCCTCCTCCTATCGCGCGGACGAAGACGAGACCGAGATAACTGTCGCTCAGCGTGAACTCGACCTCCCTATTACCGTGCGGACGAAGACACGGTCGAATTCATGACCCATCCCTATTCAAACCACTCGTCAGAAGTTCGCTGTTTCTACACTCAGCTTCCTTCCTGCTGCTCTGTTGTACAAGCACGGTGGCGGGGTTAGCCGCAAGGAACAAGATCATATGATTCTTGGCGTTTGTGCAACTTGCTCATGCTCGCCAACATGTGCTTCAAACCATGTGTGTTCGCTTGGAGCTCTACTCAATCATCCGGAAATCTATAGCCCTCTGGTCGCAGAGCATCTCGGATCAGCTGCAGGAGTCGGGCGAATTCTGCCGCACTGTGGGCAATAATCGCAAAGTCATCACGGAACCACAGGAAGAACTGACGCTCATCATGGTCGTACTCAGACATACTTTATTGAGGAGGAGGAGAAAGAGGAGGAGGAGGAGAACGAGGAGGTTGAGGAGGAGGGGGAAGAGGGAGGCGGAGGGAGCTAGAAGTCGAAGGACGAGAAATGAGGACGAGGAAGATAATGACGAGTAACAGGAAAGGGCCCAACATTGGACAATCGATCGGCCAATCGGTTGGAGAAGAAGGGGAAGAGCGACGGGAGGAGATGGGCGGGAAAAGCGGATTGAAGATCGGGAACGCTGGGAGGGATAGGTAGACAGGAGGGGAGGACGGGAGGTGGGTAGAGAGAGGAGAGGAGAGAGGAAGATGGAAGGGATGGGAGGAAGTAGAAGAGTGAAACAGGAGAGGAGAGGGTGAGATGGGATGTGAAGATAGGGAGGCGAGGGCAGGAAAGGAGAGGGGGGAGGAGAGGGGGGATGGTGAAGGAAAGGGCAAAGAGAGGGGATAAGGGACGGGGAGAGCGGGAAGACCAGACCAGCGCCGGCGGAAGTGCTACGGTACGATCGCTGAATCGACCGCAGGCTTCTGGCGGCACTGATCCTCCTGTTTCTCCTCTTCCTCCTCCTCCTCCTCCATCCTTTTTCCTTATAAATGATTCCTCCCTGTCGTGCCCCCGTACGTGTTGGTAGGGCGGGCCGGGCGCTTCGCCTGAGCCCCTTCACCATTTGTGATCTTGCAGCTTGAAGCTTGCAACACTTGCAAGGATGGAGGGCGGGTGGTTTTCAGAATGTGGCTCTCGCCCTAGCGCCGCACGCATTCGTCTTGAATTTTGCGGCAGTTTCAAAGGTGGTGGAGGGCGGGCTCTTTTCATAGTGTGGCTCTCGCCTTAACGCCGCGCGCAGTCGCCTTAAAAGTTTACAGCAGCTTCAGGGATGGAGTGCAGGCCGCTTTCGAAATGTGGATCTCGCCTTGAAGCCGCGCACATTCGTCTTAAAAACTTGCAACCGTGTCAAGGATGAAGGGCGGTTTCGTTTGTAAGTGTGGCTCTGGTCTTAGCGCCACGCGCATGTCTTAATTCAAGGATGAGGTTGACATTCCGAGTGCTGAAGACCTAGGGATGGGGTTCTGGCAGAATTTAAGACTGTCCGGACGCAGCAATCGCGTTGATCCGCGGTGATATCCCAGGAACGGTGTTCTAACACGATTGATGATTCTCAGACGGCCGTCTTCCAATGGGGCACTTCCCGCTACGGAGACAATTTCTTGTAGGGGCGGGCCTACAAGGAATGAGCTTGGAGGGGGGGGATATTGCAACTTCGCCGATGCGTCTTGCGTTTGCACTGGTCTTCTTCTTCCTCCTCCTCCTCCTCCTCCTCCTCCTCCTCCTCCTCCTCCCTCGCACCACCCCTCCCCCGCCCAGAAGCTGCCGAGTACGTCCGAACTCCGAAGCACTCTGGAAGCCCAACCAGCCCCCTGGGCATCCCCGCCGAGGACCTCCTGGGCGCTGGGGCGCCCAC